CTTGAATAATGTCTATAAGTCTGGGTTAATGACATCGTCTTCACATATTTCCTTGACTTGCATAATTATCTTCTCTTATATTCTAATTAATATTTCTTATCCTTTCTTATCTTCTTTCTTCCTCTTCCTCCTCCTCCCCCTTCTCTTCTTCCTCCTCCTCTTACTTTTACTCCTCTCCTTATCCACTTATTCCTCCTCCTCCTCCTCCTCCTTCTCTTCCTCCTCCTCCTCCTCCTACTTTTACTCCTCTCCTTATCCACTCATTCCTCTTACTACCCGTCCTCCTCCCACATCCTCCTCCTCTTCCTCCTTTCTCCTCTCCTCCTCTTATCATCTTTCCTCTCCCTTCCTCCTACTCTTTTTATTCTCTCTTTTCCAGTTACAATTTCGTCCTTCTCCATTTTCTATTTCTCTTTCCCTCAGTTTCCTCTCTTCCTCTGCTTCTTCTCCTTCACTTCCCATCTCTAACTTTTACTCATTCTGTTTTTGTTTCTTGTCTTCACATTTCCCTCCATCGTTATTTCTTCTCCTGTTGTTTTCTTGACGTCGTGTTTTGTCTTCTGCTGTTCTTGTTCTTTTCTTCTTCTTCTTCTTCTTCTTTCTTCCTCAGTGTTACATTCTTCTAATTCCTCTTTCTTTGTCTTGTTATCTATGCTTGTGTTACTCTCTCTCTCTCTCTCTTCGTCTTCTCTTTATTCTCAGTTTTATTCGTTTTTGTTTTTATCACTTTCTTGCCTTTCTCTTGTCTCTTAACCACCCTTCCCTCCCCTCCCCTTCCCTTCCCTTCCCTCATTTCCCCTTCCCCTTTACTACCCTTCAGACCCTCTTCACCCTTAAGTACCCTTCCGCTATATCTCCCCCTTCACCCCTTCACTTTCCCTCCCCCTTTCATCACCCTATCCATCTCTCCCCTTTTATTACCTCCCTTCCCCCCTTCCTCAGCAAGGCTCTTCCTCCTCCTTCTCTCTTCACTCGTCAATCCCTCTTCTCCCCTCCCACTCTCTCCAATTCCCTCTCACTTCCATAACTCGACAAAGATCCTTCCCCACTGACTTTAATTAATCTCTCTCTCTCTCTCTCTCTCTCTCTCTCTCTCTCCATAAAGACTCATCCACTTCCTCCTCCTCCCCTTCCTCCCCTCCCCCCTCCTCCTCTCCTTCCCCAACATCACCACCAACCACCACCACCTCCCCTCTCACCCCTCCCCCCCCCACACACACACCAAGGAAGAGAATTCTGAGTAAAAGGAAGAGTAGGAGAAAGGAAGAGAGGAGGAAGATGGGAGAGGAAGAGGAGGAGGTGTGTGTGTGTTTGTGTGTGTGTGTGTGTGTGTGTGTGTGTGTGTGTGTGTGTGTGTGTGTGTGTGTGTGTTTCATATACAAAAATCTTTCCATATAAACACCAATATATAGTACTCTGTTATTTTCACCACCCTTTCCTGCTATATAAATTATGGTATATAAACTGTAGTCGTTTATAATGAGTCAATACACAACACATCAGAGGATAAAGAGTAATTCTCACCAACATTTATCCAAGTCAACAAATAAATACCAAATATAACTGATAAATTAAAGTGTATATTCTCAACCATCAGAATTTGGACATTATACCTGGAACTGTAACGAGTGAGTAACGAGTGATGTAACGACTGAGTATTATAACGAGTGAGTGTTGTAACAAGTGAGTAATATAACGAGTGAGTGTTGTAACGAGTGTTGTAACGAGTGAGTGTTGTAACGAGTGAGTGTTGTAACGAGTGAGTATTATAACGAGTGAGTATTATAACGAGTGATTGATCATCTTGTTGCCTCAATGATTTTAAAGAGTTAATTCAGATGAAGACGTTCTACACACACACACACACACACACACACACACACACACACACACACCCATTACATCAGATAATAGCAGTGACCGTGTGTTGTATCAGCCATTACTGTACTTGAAAAATCCCACAGCTGCATATGTCAGTGCAAGCATTACCTGACTACAGCACAGTACAGAACAGAACGGGATTAATTTAGCGTTATTCTCTTTATACTGTAAGAGCTCTATGGTTGAGGTTTGAGCTGCTGATTCATAATTACCCTTGTCATTAGTACCTGTTAATGGGTTACCTGTAAGCTCTCTATTACTAGTACTTTAATGCCCAGGTATTTTGTTTACACTGTTGGGATATGTTAATTAGTTTACAGGTGATGCACTGTTGGTTATTTGTTACCTGGTTTGGAATTAACTACTCTATCTATCTATCTATCTATCTATCTATCTATCTATCTATCTATCTATCTATCTCCTATCTATTTAGCTATCTATCTCCCACAACACGTATAGTCTTACCTGTTCATATATTTTTACTACAAATTTCAATAACATGTTAATTGTTTCAGAGGTAAGGTCCAACTCTCTCTCTCTCTCTCTCTCTCTCTCTCTCTCTCTCTCTCTCTCTCTCTCTCTCTCTCTCTACTAAGTATGATTCACATTTTTATATAATAACAGCAAGTGATATTTTCCTCTTAATTAACCAACATAATCTTTCACTAATAATTCATCTCTGTGGTAATAAATATTTTTCTTGCGACTCTTTCCCTGACTGTAAACACACACACACACACACACACACACACACACACACACACACACACACACACACACACACACACACATTACTCATATGAAAGCCTCTCAATTTACTTACATAATTTATAACTGTCTTTAATAATTTAGTTCTAAGATTATAAAATAATTAATAACTGTTGTCGCAACTCTTACTCCCTCCTCTCCTCTCCTCTTCCTCTCCCTCTTCCTTCCTCCATCTCTTCCTCCCTGTAACACGCCCCTCCCTCCTGTAACATCCCCTCCCTCCTGCCCTTCCCTCCCTGCAACACCCTTTCCCCTCCCTGTAACACCCCTCCCTCCCTGTAACACACCCCTTTCCCTCCCTGTAACACACCCCCTCCCTTCCCGGTAACTCGCCTCCCTCCCTGTAACACACCTCCCTCCTGTAACACCCCCTCCTCCATGCAACACCCCTCCTCCCTGTAACACCTCCTCCTCCCTGTAACCACCTCCTCCCTGTAACACACCCCTCCCCCCTGTAACACCCCTCCCTCCCTGTAACACACCCCTCCTCCCGTAACACCTCCTCCCTGTAACACCACCTCCCTCCCTGTAACACACCCCTCCCTCCCTGTAACACCCCTTCTCTCCCTGTAACACCCCTCCCTCCCTGTAACACACCTCCTCCCGTAACACCCTCCCTCCTGTAACACCACCTCCCTCCCTGTAACACACCCCCTCCCTCCCTGTAACACACCTTCTCTCCCTGTAACACACCCCCCTCTCTCCTGTAACACACCCCTCCCTCCCTGTAACATCCCTCCCTGTAACACCTTCCTCCTAACACCTCCTCCCTGTAACACCTTCCTCCTGTAACCTCCCTCCCTCCTGTAACACACCCCTCCCTCCTGTAACACCTCCCTCCCTGTAACACCCCCCTCCTCCTGCAACACCACCTATACACATGACAGCCCAACACAAACATGGTCACAACACTGCCGGAGGAAGACCTTGAGCACTGTCACCTAATAAGACTTTTGTACCTAATTCTTACTCCGTTGCTCACTTCACACGGAATACCTGATGGGCTCCACACACTACCTTACATCTCGCTCTGACCAGGTTTATTATATTTGATGTTATTTCCCAAGTTAGAAGAGTTAGGGTAGGGTAGGGTAAGGGTAGGGTAGGTTAAGGGTAGGGTAGGGTAGAGGGTAGGTTAGGAGTAGGGTAGGTGGAGTTAGGGTAGGGTAGGGGTAGGGTAGGGTAGTTAGGTTAGGGTAAGGTAGGGTAGGGTAGGTTGGGGGTAGGGTAGGAGTAGGTTGGGGGGGTGGGGTAAGTGGGGGGGTGGGAGGGATGGGAGAGGGTAGGTGGGGAGGTGGGGTGGGGTAGGGTGAGAGAAGAGGTGGGGTGGGTGGTGGGGAGTAGGGAGTGGGGGTAGGGTGTGGGGTGGGGTGGGGTAGGGTAAGGGTAGGGTGAGGTAGGGTAAGAGGTGGGAGTGGGGTAGGGTGGGGTAGGGTGGGGGTAGGAGTGGAGTGGGGTAGAGGGGTGGGGAGTAGGGTAGGGTAGGGGTAGAGGTGGGGTAGGGGTGGGAGTGGTGGGGTAGGGTGGGGTAGTGAGGTAGGGGGGTAGGGTAGGAGTAGGGTGGGAGTAGATTAGATTGGGTTAGGGTGGGGTGGGGTAGGGGTGGGGTGGGGTGGGGTGGTGGGGTAGGGTAGGGTGGGGTGGGGTGGGGTGGGGTAGGGTAGGGTAGGGTAGGGGTGGGTGGGGTAGGGTGGGGTGGGGAGGGGTAGGGTGGGGGTGGGGTGGTGGGGAGTTGGGTTGGGGTGGGGTAGGGTGGGGTAGGGGTGGGGTAGGGGTGGGGTGGGGTAGGGTGGGGTAGGGGTGGGGTAGGGTGGGGTAGGGTAGGGTGGGGTAAGGGTGGGGTGGGGTGGGGTAGGGTGGGGTGGGGTGGGAGTGGGGTAGGGTTGGGTGGGGTAGGGTGGGGTAGGGGTAGGGTGGGGTGGGGTAGGGTGGGGTAGGGGTGGGGTTGGGTAGGTTAGGGTAGGGTAGGGTAGGGTAGGGTAGGGTAGGGTAGGGTAGGGTAGGGTAGGGTAGGGTAGGGTAGGGTAGGTCAGGTCAGGTCATAAAGGATTGTACTGAACCTGAGACTTACATTAACTCTCTAAGGCTTAACTTGCTGTTTACTACATAACTTTACAGACTTATGTAATGTTCGCGAGTGTTTACGGTGTACAGTACAGTACAGTACAGCACAGTACAGTACAGTACAGTACAGTACAGCACAGTACAGTACAGTACAGTACAGTATATGTAAGTCTACCTGTACTGTACCTGCACTATGAACTTTATTTACTGTATAACTTTACTGTAAGTTTTGTTGTAGTGAGTTTGTGTAGCGACAAGTTGTGACCCCACACATTGTTGTCCTGCAGGGCGGGGAGCAGGAGGTGGAGTACCACGTGACAGGAGGGTGGGGCGCCCTCACGGTGGACGCAGAAGGCAGTGTGAGTCTGTGGCGGGCCCTGGACCGTGAGGCTCCTGACGGGGCCATCGGTGTAGCCAAGGTCACCGGCGTGGACCGTGGAGAGCCGCCCCTCAGTGCCACCGCCACCCTCACCATCACCGTCACTGACGTCAACGACTGCGCCCCACGACTCCTGCCGCCCACGCTGCTGCACGTGGCCGAGGGCGGTCCACCCACACTGCTGGGGGTGTTGACAGCCACCGACCACGACGTATGGGCGTTGGGTCACGGTCCACCCTTTAAGCTCTCCCTGGCGCCCACCAACCCCGCCCATGTCTTCTCTCACATCTCCCTCACATTTGACTCACGTGAGTAACATTACTTCAAGCTTCCAGTTTACTCATAACTCTGTGCCTTTGTTGCCCGCATGAAGGTACAGTATGTAGCCTACAGTGTATAATATATAAATATATGATATATGCATGTATCAGCATGTATGAAAATAAACACGTATATGTGTGTGTGTGTGTGTGTGTGTGTGTGTGTGTGTGTGTGTACGTACAGTATACCTGAAAGCATTAGATAGCTATGTACATGTGTCATTGTTTCACATACAGTTTAGCGGAACACAATCTTACAAAAATTAATATCAGATAACTACTTTTATTTCCCATTGTTTTCAAGGTAAAAATATCAGCCATATTGATTCCACCCAACGGTACAGTACAGTACAGTACAGTACAGTACAGTACAGTACAGTACAGTACAGTACAGCACAGTACAGCACAGTACAGTACAGTACAGTACAGCACAGTACAGTACAGTACAGTACAGTACAGTACAGTACAGTACCTGCTTTATCTCAGCGTTAAGTTAATGGCAGTATGATACTCCATGGTCCCCGACAGTTAAGAGCACACAATAATAAAAGTCAGTTAGTCGGGTTATTTTTGGCCAGTCAAGTAGGATGAAAACCTATCAAGTTAAGTTAAGGCAGTTTTTACCTTTTGACGTCAGAGATAAACTTTTTATGTGACCAGCAGCAGATGACGGACCTGACAAAGCTGGCCGTCACCGGGGGACCTTCAACCCCTAATTGCCAATATTAACTCAAAGGGCCAATTTTACCTGTAAATGAACCCGTACAACAGGTGGTTGTTGAATATTTAGGGTCGTTAACAGTGGCTGGTTGTCTGTTGCAGCATAAACCCATACATGTATTGCACACTTATTAGTTACGGTGCAATAAACTGCTCTGCCACTATTTATTGCAACCGTTGTGAGTCCATACCTCGCTGGCTGTGCAATTTCCACCCCTGACTAACACATATCGCTTTTAACTCAGCTTGTTCGTATTTTACTGTCAGAGTGATTTTGTTTACCTATTATCTTAACTGTGGGAACTTATCTATATTATCGACGTTCTTTTGCTTGTAAATATATTAGTTACTTGAGTCACATCATTTCTTAATAATGTTTCAAACTATACAAACTTTCAACATGAAATCAGGAAACTTTTACGTCCCAAAGTTGGCTTATAAATTGTTGCTTCTGTGCGTGTTTGTATTTGGATGGATGGATGGATGGATGGATGGATGAATGGATGGATGGATGGATGAATAAATGAATGGATGGATGGATGGATGGATGGATGGATGGATGGATGGATGGATGGATGAGTAAATATATTGAAGAATACAAGCGACATAAAATTATATAGCATTACTATCTGACCCTCTCACTTCCTCTCCCCTCTCCCCTCTCCCCTCTTCTCTCCTCCCATTCCCCTCATACCTTTTCCTTATTCCCTCAACCCACTTCCCTTTCCTCGCCATTCTTCCCTCCCCCCCTCAGATCTAGACAGTGGTCGAGGGGGCGCTGAGCTGTGGACGGTGAAGGCGGTGGACAGAGAGGAACACCGGGAACTATTAGTGGAGGTACTGACTGCCGACGCCCAGGGCCTCTCTGCCACCCACACCGTTACTGTGATCATAGACGACCTAAACGATAACCCCATGAGGCCTGCCAGCAAGACCGTCTACCTGTGGAAGACTCAGGTATGTCTGTCTGTCTGTCTGTCTGTCTGTCTGTCTGTCTGCCTGTCTGTCTGTCTGTGTCTGTCTGTTTCCATGTCCTAAAATCAAAAAATTGTGTTCAAGTTTCATGTTCTCTCTCTCTCTCTCTCTCTCTCTCTCTCTCTCTCTCTCTCTCTCTCTCTCTCTCTCGCTATATTCCAGCAGGACCGGACATACAATGAACACTGAATCATGTTTGTGTTTGTGTGTGTGTGTGTATTTGTGTGTGTGTGTGTGTGTGTATGTGTATACTTCTCTCAGAGTTATGTGTACCTTGGCAAGTGTTGTGTGTATGCTGTGTGGAAACTGTATGTGTACCTTGGGATAGTGTTGTGTATACCATAAACGGAAACTATGTACGTATTATTAAGAAATGTGTGTACCTTGTGTGTATGTCGCAGGATGTAAGTATGTGTATGTATGTGTTTAGTGTGTAGGTGTGTGTGTGTGTGTTTTCTGGGGACTTATGTGTATGTTTAGTTTCCTCTGGAGAGTTAAGTGTACATGTGCACTTATAGAGAGTTAAGTGTACCTGTGCACTTATAGAGAGTTAAGTGTACCTGTGCACTTATAGAGAGTTAAGTGTACCTGTGCACTTATAGAGAGTTAAGTGTACCTGTGCACTTATAGAGAGTTAAGTGTACCTGTGCACTTATAGAGAGTTAAGTGTACCTGTGCACTTATAGACAGTTAAGTGTACCTGTGCACTTATAGAGAGTTAAGTGTACCTGTGCACTTATAGAGAGTTAAGTGTACCTGTGCACTTATAGAGAATTACGTGTACCTGTGCACTTATAGAGAGTTAAGTGTACCTGTGCACTTATAGAGAGTTATGTACCTGTGCATTTATAGTTAAGTACCTGTGCACTTATAGTGTACCTGAGTTAAGTGTACCTGTGCACTTATAGAGAGTTAAGTGTACCTGTGCACTTACTGAGAGTTAAGTGTACCTGTGCACTTATAGAGAGATAAGTGTACCTGTGCACTTTATAGAGAGATAAGTGTATTAATGTTTACTTTAATCAGATTTAAGTGTACCGTGTTAAGTTAATCCCCATGTTTAATAATCCCATGTTAAATAATCCCATGTTAAATAATCCCATGTTAAATAATCCCATGTTAAATAATCCCTTGTTAAATAATCCCCATGTTAAATAATCCCATGTTAAATAATCCCATGTTTAATAATCCCATGTTAAATAATCCCATGTTAAATAATCCCATGTTAAATAATCCCATGTTAAATAATCCCATGGTAAATAATCTCATGTTAAATAATCCCATGTTAAATAATCCCATGTTAAATAATCCCCATGTTAAATAATCCCATGTTAAATAATCCCATGTTTAATAATCCCCATGTTAAATAATCCCTATGTTAAATAATCCCCATGTTAAATAATCCCATACATGTTAAATAATCCCATGTTTAATAATCCCATGTTAAATAATCCCATGTTAAATAATCCCATCCCCCGTTAACAATCCCATGTTAAATAACCTATGTTTAATAATCCCATGTTAAATAAACCCATGTTAAATTATCCCACGTTAAATAATCCCCTATGTTAAATAATCCCATGTTAAATAATCCCCATGTTAAATAATCCCATGTTAAATAATCCCATGTTAAATAATCCCATGTTAAATAATCCCCATATAATCCCCATGTTAAATAATCCCATGTTTAATAATCCCCATGTTAAATAATCCCATGTTAAATAATCCCATGTTAAATAATCCCATGTTAAATAATCCCCATGTTAAATAATCCCATGTTAAATAATCCCCATGTTAAATAATCCCATGTTAAATAATCCCATGTTAAATAATCCCATGTTAAATAATCCACAACTTAATTAATTATATCTAACTTGTTAATATTAACTTTCCATTTACGTCTGTTTAAAAAAAGTCGAATTAACTAAAATTAATTTATAATAAAAGACTGATTTTTACATCCGGGTCAGTAGTGAGTGTGTGAAGGATGATAGTGTAACCCGGATGTAATGGGGGTGACGACGGGGGTGAGGGATGATAGTGTAACCCGGATGTAATGGAGGTGACGATGATGATAGTGTAACCCGGATGGGAATAATGGGGGTGAGGGATGATAGTGTAACCCGGATGTAATGGGGGTGAGGGATGATAGTGTAACCCGGATGTAATGGGGGTGAGGGATGATAGTGTAACCCGGATGTAATGGGGGTGAGGGATGATAGTGTAACCCGGATGTAATGGGGGTGACGGGGGTGAGGGATGATAGTGTAACCCGGATGTAATGGAGGTGAGGGATGATAGTGTAACCCGGATGTAATGGGGGTGACGACGAGCCTTTACATAATACTGTACAGTACTCACCAGGTTATACAGGATCCGATACATGTTAAATAGCCGGGGTTTTAAAACACAAAATTCAGGTGTTTGTTATCAATTAATTTATCCGAATTGCCAAAACAGAATTAGAATTTAAATTGTAAACACTCATGAATACGTCATCAGAGTACACACACACACACACACACACACACACACACACACACATACACACACACACACACATGTCCTCTGTAAATAGTGAAATGTGAAAGTTTCTGTTGTTGTTGTTGTTGTTGTTGTTGTTGTTACGAGATTATTTTTACTCTCTGTGTTACGGTTCATTACATATGATAAAGCTGACAGAATTTAGTGTGTTCTGTCAACATGGTATATTTTATTTTTTGTGACAGAGTTACTTTAAATAGCAGTTTATAGTGTATTTCCCGGTGTGTGTGTGTGTGTGTGTGTGTGTGTGTGTGTGTGTGTGTGTGTGTGTGTGTGTGTGTGTGTGTGTGTGTGTGTGTGTGTGTGTGTGTGTGTGTGTGTGTGTGTGTGTGTGTGTGTGTGTGTGTGTGTGTGTGTACGTATCAGGTGAATCAAAACATCATTCACAACAGAACGCCATAAACGCAAGCCAGATAGCTAAACCAGATAGACTAAGCGATAGACAGAACGATAATAAAACATAGACAGGGTAGTTAAACAAACAGATAAATAACATATGAATCAACATCTGTCTGTCTCTCTGTCTAGGGCGGAGGGTCGGACGCGCCCTTGGGTCGAGTGTACGTGAACGACCCTGACGATTGGGACCTAGGGGACAAGACGTTCCGCTGGCTGGGCTCTCCTGATCCCCTCTTCACCCTCAACGCTGACGACGGCACCATCTTCGCCTCCAGCCAAGTCCGCGAGGGCAGGTGAGTACTAGTGACCACGACAGGTGAGTACTAATGACGACGACAGGTGAGCAGTAGTGACCACGAAAGGTGAGTACTAGTCAGGACGGCAGGTGAGTAGTAGTGACCACGACAGGTGAGTACTAGTGAGAATGACAGGTGAGTAGTAGTAACCACGACAGGTGAGTACTAATGACGACGACAGGTGAGTACTAATGACGACGACAGGTGAGTAGTAGTGACCACGACAGGTGAGTACTAGTGACCACGACAGGTGAGTAATAATGACGACGACAGGTGAGTAGTAGTGACCACGACAGGTGAGTACTAGTGACCACGACAGGTGAGTACTAATGACGACGACAGGTGAGTACTAGTGAGAATGACAGGTGAGTACTAGTGACCACGATAGGTGAATACAACGGAAGACCATACCTAGTTAAAAAGGAGAGAGAGAGAGAGAGAGAGAGAGAGAGAGAGAGAGAGAGAGAGAGAGAGAGAGAGAGAGAGAGAGAGAGAGAGAGAGAGAGAGAGAGAGAGAGAGAGAGAGAGGCATCAGTCATAGGTACCAGTATAGTGACCACCCACGTCCCTATAGTTACAAAGGCAGCAGCACCAGGAGAAGAAGGGCGTAAGTACAAGTCTGTTACGCCATTTTGCTTCGATTCTTTAAATAACTTATATGACGTTTTTACTCCATGTTATCTCAAGAAGGTTCCACACATATAAACATACACACATGATTTAAAGCACATCTCATCATCTGTTACCGATATGTAGAGAAAAAAACAATTAAATACTGTATGTAATGTCTCGAATCAGTTAAAAGAACATTGATAAGACGTAACACAGGGCTGGGATGAACACTATATTACAGTGACAGGATACAGTGAACAGCTTCTTGGGTTCACAATAATGAGTTCTGTGGTAAAGTTTCAACGTGTCAGAATCCTCAATATTCAGGTGAGGTAAAAGAGAGAGAAAGAGAGAGAGGAATTTTATTTATTATGGTATGAACGTGAACACATCGACTGTCTGTTGTTTGAGTAAGTTACTGAAGTGAACATTACTCTTGCATGAGGGACTAGTGTGCGTGGCTGGCTGGTAGTTGCCTTGGTGGCCTAACGCGGAGAAATACTGCGGGTTTACGGTTGTCTAATTAAGAAAACACTAACGATCACATTGGGAGTCAATTATTAAACCGCATTTATTAAACCGTTTAAACTTATGTGTGTGTATTACTGAAGTGGGTTATTTTTTTTATCATATGTCGCAGTGGTTAAGGAAATATTATTAATAGTATTTATTTTAATCGTGAAAAGAATGATATTAAATTGTGAGGGAAAAAAGCAGTATTAATGGGTGAGGAAGGGAACGATCACTGTTTTAAAGGAGATAACTAAGGTGGATTCTGGTAAATGCTCTACACACACACACACACACACACACACACACACACACACACACACACACACACACACACACACACAGAGCCAGATCCGCAGGTAGGAAGCCAGGAAGCCATTTCATATATTAAATACATAAGTTATTCCCCAACAGTTGCAGAGCCTCACACAGACCGTCACGTCCAAATGCCTGAATTTACATCACTCACAAAGCTGTGAAGTGCAGCAACATGTTAGAGCTGCATAAAGTGCTTCACTACACCTCCACATTTTCCAACCTTCTATATTCCCAAATCCTCTTAGGAATAACTTCTATTTTCCTTTTTTTTCCAAGAGTGTATTAAAACACTTCCCAGAGAACTGAACTTTAAAACAATTTCTATATAATATTCAAATGTTAAGTTGTTTATCATTTTTATAAACATTATCAAAGTTTCCTGAACATTTTCTCACCCAAACATTACACAAGACCATGAACGGTAAAATATATCCAGAAAAAGACTACAGTATTAAGCTCAGTATTTATCTGCCTGTGGTAAGTCATCACCATTGAGTCTTTTTTAATATTTCATGTTAGCAATAAAGTTATCTGAGAGGCTTTACACCGTGAGACTTTTACCTCAAGGTTTCCAATACCCACGTCTATTTATCACAAGTTTCTAATTAACTTTCACACAACAGAAGACCTCTCGCCCAGGACCACCCTCAAAGTATATATTTCTGTTCTACTTTGTCAACCTTTACTTAAGCCTGGCAGATGAACCCTGCAAAACTTGGTCTATTTTACAACTCACAAAAAACAAAAGATAAAATCCCTCAACATGTTTGCACGTTCGAGCTTTATCCAAGAGACTGTAGTGCTGGATTTTTCTACCAACAACGCTATACTTTTTTTTTCTCTCCAGTAAGCTCTATCTCTCTACTGCACGGGATGGTTGCTGAAGACTCACACACACACACGCACAGCCTCACCCCTCTCACTCCTACACCCGCCTGCCCACCCGCACGCCCACCCGTACAGTATAACACATCCTCACCATACTTATTACCCCAAATAAGTATGAACACTAATATTACTCAGAGATAACGTCCCCCAGAAAAGAAGAAAAAAAAATGTTGACAAAAATTAAAAATAATGTTCATAGCAGCAAGAATTTTTGAGGGTTTTTGGGGGGAAGACTAGAACACCGTAAGGGAGACGGCAAGGCCTTTCTCCAGAGCCAAGCTTTCTGAGTTACTGTTAATGTTGAACATGAAGTGGAGGAAAACCTTGAACAAAATATTCTCTATTTTATTTTTATTATTATTATTATTATTATTATTATTATTATTATTATTATTATTATTATTATTATTATTATTATCGGTGTTATTATTATTATTATTATTATTATTATTATTATTATTATTATTATTATTATTATTATTAGTATTATTATTATTATTGCTTCAGTAAAACATTACAATTAGATTCTGAAGAAAAAATTGCAACTTTCCCATAGTTTTTTTTTTTTAGAAACATATCGTCCATAACAGAATCCAAACCTTTAGAATGCTTCAGTAAAACATTACAATTAGATTCTGAAGAAAAAATTGCAACTTTCCCATAGTTTTTTTTTTTTAGAAACATATCGTCCATAACAGAATCCAAACCTTTAGAATTTACTTTAAAAGACTAAATTCACTGTGAAGATATAATCCCTTCAATAATAAATTCTCAGGGGCATTTAAGAGTATTTGTTGGGTTTAAATGATTCAACTCTGACCGGTTTAATTGTTCAGGTCTCCTAATTCAACTCTGGTTCACCTGACACACACACACACAATGCAGTATTTACCAAGGTACAAAGTGATGTAATTATGATAACCCATTGCAATATTAAGGGACAAGAAGACTTCAATTAAACACATTGCACTATTTACCAAGGGCCAATGAGAAGACGTCCAGTTGAAGCAAATTGTTTGAGGAGAATGAAGCTATGAAAGGGACAGTGGACAGACAGACAGACAGACAGACAGACAGACAGACAGACAGACAGACACTGAAGGTGAAATATTGATCTAGACATAAAAAAATCAACAGACAGTGAAAGACATACGAATAAAAACAGACAATAAAACTGTTCACACACACACACACACACACACACACACACACACACACACACACACACACACACACACACACACACACACACGAACAATTACAAGATACACAAAAAAAAAAATCCCCCAAAACACACGAATGAATAATTGTACAAAGTGTATAAAGTGTACACAGTGTATAAAGTGTACACAGTGTATAAAGTGTACACAGTGTATAAAGTGTACACAGTGTAGTCCGTTCCGTGGGTAAAACTGCACAGGAGCTTTCAAATAATAAGGTCATAGAGGAAAAGTATGACTACTAGTGAATAACAATTGATTTACTACTGGAGGAACGACAGGTGGAAAAATATGAGTGGGGAGGAGGGAAACTTTTAACTGAAAGGAAGAAAGTATGAAAGGGTGACGAGGTGAGGAGAGACAGACAGACAAAGAGAGAGAGAGAGAGAGAGAGAGAGAGAGAGAGAGAGAGAGAGAGAGAGAGAGAGAGAGAGAGAGAGAGAGAGAGAGAGAGAGAGAGAGAGAGAGACAACCCCCCTACCAACCACCACCGAATTACTCTGAGCAGCAGCAGGACAAATTAGATACATCCCCCCAGGTGCAATTATGTCTTATACGTGTAAGCAGAAGAGATATGAATTATATTAACGAGACGAGGCAAGAGTGTAACCCATGGACCCGTCCCAAGTAAGACCCTGAGAGGTTCTTATTTTTCATGGAACTGAGAGGATAAAAAGTAGTTCCCTTAAGAAGAGTTTATAGGTCAGTACAGCTTTACGTAGGGTATTGTGATGCAAGTTTGAGTTGATTCACCACAAAACAGAAGCAATAAGTACACGAACAGGAGTAATATGTGCACAAACGGTAATAATATGTGCATAAACAGTAATAATATGTGCACAAACGGTAAGAATGTACACAAACGGTAAAAAATATGTGCACAAACGGTAAGCAAACGGTAAGAATATGTGCACAAACGGAAAGAATATTTGCACAAACGGTAATATGTGTACAAACGGTAATATGTGCACAAACGGTAATATGTGCACAAACGGCAAGAATGTGCACAAACGGTAATATGTGCACAAACGGCAAGAATGTGCACAAACGGTAATAATATGTGCACAAACAGTAATAATATGTGCACAAATAGTAATAATATGCGCACAAACGGTAATAATATGTGCACAAGCAGTAATAATATGTGCACAAACGGTAAGAATGTGCACAAACGGTAAAAATATGTGTACAAACGGTAAGAAAGTGCACAAACGGCAATAATATGTGCACAAACGGTAAGAATATGTGCACAAACGGTAATAATATGTGCACAAACGGTAAGAATATTTGCACAAACGGTAATATGTGCACAAACGGTAATATGTGCACAAACGGTAATATGTGCACAAACGGTAATAATATGTGCACAAACGGTAAGAATAAGTGCACAAACAGAAACAATAAGTGCACATTTATTACATATTTATCATAAAACAACAATTAAATAGA